AAGTAAAAATCACTAAATGGGACTGGGTTTTGGCTCAAACCCAGGACACATGTAACAGAAATGAATGAACAAACAAACAAAAAAAACCCCAAAAGCCAAGGGGGCTGCATAAGTTATGAATAAGTTTCCTCCAGAAAAATCAGGGTGTAAATCCGCACGACAAATTGAAGCGGATCGTTATCCCTCGTTTCTGATATTTGAATACCATACAATATAGTAATTGAGAATTTAAGAAGGGATAATTATTTGCATTTAACACTTAAGTTCCCTTTCTACAGAGAAAAACCTGATGTCACCTGCTGTAATTTTTCAGATGCTAACTGCAGTATCGTAAAGGAAGTAAGGCATTTTAAAAGCCCATGTTATCTACACGCGTGAGTACCAGAAATAAACACCTGCTTTTCAGGGTTCTGAAGTCCTGAACCTTCAGGTGAGGACCAGTCAGGTCAGGTCAGCCCTTCAAGTGACCCATTTCTCCTCAACCCCGCACATCACCCCACCAAGACGATAACAGAGCTTTCTTCCACAGCCCAGGCAGCAGCAAGTGTTGACACTGCTCGGATTCACACTGGTCCAACGAGCCAGGTGGCTGCTCTGTGTCAGAACAGGAAGGGGAAGTACAGAAATTTGGTTCACACCACTTGGATATGAAGACTGCTGTCACTCCACTACATCAATCAATTCGAAAGTTTCAAGGACAGCAGAAACAGCTTTACATGTAAATCTCAGTTCTGCCAGAAAATAGGATAAAAATCTAGGAAGCAGCATACATAATGAAGAGCGACAGATAACATATTGACAACTTTTTCGAATGCTGACAACTTATATCATGTGGTAGTCCTGGACTTTGTTTCCATATGTCAAATCCAACATACTATCTTTTCCACAGAGCTGTTCTACCCTCCAGAATCAAAATTAGGGAAAGAAAAGAGGCAGGGAAGGAACTTGGCAATGTGCTTCCTACAACACAAGAGAAAGCTTAGCACTTGAGCTGCAATTGCCACCACTTCTGTGTGGCCCACAAGAAGGAAATCAAGGAACTGGTGCCAAATTCACTCTCCCAAGAACATCAGACTTCCTGTGCTGCTCTACACTGCAAAAGCTTTGATGAGACAGTGTAAACAGCCACCCTTTGTCTCACTCAACCAACCGCACAGCTTGCACAGGGCCCTACGTGACTTCAAACACTCTAGCTTCTGTCCGTTTCCTGAATGGAACATTAGTACTGTTCTACCAGAAAAAGCTGTATTTGTAGGTGAAGAAAATGCAGGAGCCACTAGAAACAGGAACTTTTGCATTCCTAGACAGGGTTTCTCACTCCAAAATTTGGACTTATTTTGGAACAAAGTTATTCAGGAATAATTGTTCTTCAAAAGTTGTTTGCAACTACACAAGGTACACTTGTGCAGTTCAGACAGTCATTGTGGTAAAACAATCAGTGTCATAAACAAAATAGTGTAAAAAAAAAAAAACCCACAGTGAAAAATTTACTTAGAATAAATTCAAAACAAAAAAAACCCAACTCACAATCAAAACTGAGTTTCTTTATGATTACCTGCGCCAGTGCTTAGCCAAGTGTTAAAGAAATAGATGGTTATTAGAATCAGCCATGTATTCCTCCTTCTGAATTGCTACAGAGCCTGTATTTTAAGGCCCTGGGAGAAAAGTAACTGAAGGCAACCCAGAGGCGAAGTCAGGATTAAACAGCAATCATTTTATGTGATTGCTAAAACTCTTCCACAAGTATTTTTGAAGTCAAAACAGCACACTATGAATGACCAAACCAAGCATTTAGACAAGCAGTTTTGAACAGATCATGACCCGATGGTATTTAAGGTTTGAGTTACACTCAGGTGACTTGTTCCAAACTTATGACAGACAAACCTTCTTTATCAACCTCATACAATCTTTGAAGATCGTACCTCTGCCTCTTGTTTTCTTTTCCATGGTGCAAAGAGTCTAGTAGTTTGATCAGAACCAACACTGATGATAAACTCTCCTTCTGGATCCCACTTTACATCCTCTACACTATTAAAATGTCCTGAAATCACAACTTCTGGAGTCCATTCTTTCTATTAAAAAAAGGCACCAAAGAAGCAAGGAGTTTTCAGTTGACTGATTGGCATAATCTAAGCAAAATAAAAGTAACAACATTCTTATCAAGAAAGCAAAAAAGAGGCATTTGATGAAAGCAGAAAATTATTAGAAACCAGAGGGCAAGAGATACAAATAGCAGTTTATTGCTCCAGTCCAAAAGAAACTTAGGCTATGGGTTCAGCTGCCACTTCTGAACAAAGAACAATCAAAAAGAGTTTGGTCTATTGCAGTGACTTCGTGACTCCCATAGGGAAGCAACAGGTTTTAGAGCCTGTGAGACTGCAATCTCCATTCTGTGGAGGAGACTCCTAGAAAGTATTATATTCAGAGGAGGGCTATTTTAATAGTTAATTTTAAATTGTACTCTAACAGTTTTCTATTAACAATGGAACTTACTTCTTTTAATTAGTACTTAAAAAAAAAAAGACATACCTTATTAACTGCAATTTGTTTCCAAAGGTGTAGCGCTCCATGAAAAGCATGAGCAACGATCATTGAACCATCTGGACTAAACTGGCAGTCAAAAAATCCAAGGGTATTGCCACCCACTTCACCCACCCGCACCTGAATTAATGATCAGAAGTGAAACATCCATGAAAACTGCCTTCTATTCTTACAAACTCATCCTAATCTCACGAGATTAAAATCTAGATATAGGTGAGAGGTCATATTACATATAAAACTACAAAGTGAAGCACTAAAATATCACGAGAATTAATGCTGCATGCTACTTTAATGGAGTCTCCTCTCATAAATATTCTAAGAGAAGATCTTGCTCAATCCCCCAACAGTAACAACCTGCAAAAAGCTTTACTGCACAGCACATTTTTAGAAGTTTTTACATTTATCCACAAGCACTACAAGGGACAACAAATGGCATCTCTATGTGATTGCCATATTATGAACTACTTTCTACTTGAAGCAGAAAGGCACTGGAACCTTTGCGGGGTAATTCTCTCCTTTTCTCTCAAGAGAGGGTTAGAACTTCCTTTGTGACAGGAAAAGCCATAAACAGTGGCTGGCATAAACCACCACAAACAATTTTGGCTGAACTGTTGCAATTTGGAAAATTAGGTCAATTAAAAACAAAGCTACCAAGGCACTACATAAATCTGGTTGTACTACTTGTTATTTAAGATGATCCCCATCAGAATAGTGTTCAATATACTACAATGAAACATGAGCATCTAGCTCAAATGGAAGAAAAAAACCTCATGACACAGCCCACAAACAAGTTACTGCGAGCAAAACTAGGCTTGCAAATTGCATGTCAGCTGCTCTGTAGCAGCTCTTGGGTGGACGTTCCCACAAGGATTAACTACAAGTAATTCAAGATGGTTTCTTCTTCTTACCAGGAGTACACAGTGTTACTGTGCAGCACCTGGAGTGCTATACTATGAACACCAGGTGAGCAGAAACTCCTCAATATGGTAATAATAGAGCAAACAATCAATTAAAAAAAACCCCACACTGTACCACATTTTTGAAAAATATAGTTTTACTTGCAACACAGCATCAGAATGAATATTTTTACAAGAAAATGCTTTGCCTTTCTCTCTGATCATTTGATAGAGTTTTTATTCCCTTCAGTACACACACAATGCTGCAAATGCAACCTGAATACAGTATGTATTTTGAGAAAGACTGACACTTGCCTGTTCTAACCACACTCCAGATTCCTTATCAGGTTCCCAGATGATCACGGTTTTGTCCATTGATGCAGACAATATTCTCATTGGTTGTTGCATGCTGCCATCTACAGTACAAGGAAAACGATTACCCTACAACCTACAAGAACACTTTTAAAAAGAATTTGGTCATACTGAAATCCAAATACACTAAGAAAATTGTTCAGCATCAGAGACAAGCAGTGCCTAAAGGCCAGACTTAACTGGCCCTATGATCTCACTAGGCATTCATTAGGAGGTACTGTATTTTTCAGCCATAATCTCTCAAAGGAAATGTAAACACGTACATAACAACCTCCATAGTTTACTGGTTATTCTTTCCAAACTGACGCTGAAACAAATGTAATTTGGAGGAAAATAGAGAGCTTCACAGAGAGACTGCATAGCAGTTCTCAATTCTACTTTTCAAATTAGTTTTTACAGAGAGACCTTCTGTTTAAAACAAAATAATCTCTATACCAATATTCACTGAATTTTTTTCCAAATTAAGTGTTACATTCACTGCATACTTCAATGGACAAGATGCTAGCACCTTGTAATACACACAGCAGTAAGGACTGTTCCCCAAAACGCAGTGAAACACTCCAGACCACCACGCAACATAGTCAGAATGGGGAAGAGGAAACTGCTTCACTATCCAGTTGGGAAACCCCAAGCTGCTGGGGAACTTTTCTTGAGAATGGAGACATTGCTGGGCATCTCTTGAGGCAGTATCTTAAGATACTTTCGGACTTCTACCTTTTGCACCAAGAATTTCTCTCAGATCAGTCTGCCTTTACTGAAGAAGAAAATCTATTTTAGGGAACCCAGGACTGAGCAGGCTACAGAACACAAGCAACTATACACAGGCAGAAGCATGACCTAAGGCACCTAGAAAACTTCATAGTCTAACATTATTCAGATTGCAGTGCAAGACTTACAGGATTATACTCTGCCTAAATGTTGCTCTAACAGGCAAAATATTTTACTAGTTTAAAAACAAACAAACAAACAAAAAAAGAGTAAATGAACAGGTAACTAAGTCAATATTTCTAAAGCAAGTCCTGTGTCTTTCACTACAGGTATTTTGACATTTTAATTGCACTCTACTATTCAAGCACTGTATATACACTTTAAAAAAAGTGGCACTTCGTACTGGTGAAGTCACCCGCCATCAGTAACTCAAGAAAAAAAGGCACCTTTGCCAATATAAATACACAAGGGCATTCTGATGGTGCAAGCATGTCAAATCAAGAATCTCCTCCCCTTACACTCCAGGCAGACATGTACCAGCCAATCAGTACCAAAAACACTGCTATCAGAATTTAAGGATATTAAAAAGATAAGGACTAGCACAAGATGCAAAATTAAACTGTAAATAACTTTTTTTTTTTTAACCAAGAGTCTGAATTAATGACTTAAAAGCTCCTTCTTGGCTAGAGAAAACTGATACTTAAGGAATCCCTGGCATGTTTTACTAATGCATGGATGACTGCAGATTAATCTTCTGAATGCTGCTATTTGTTCCTTTTAGTCAAAGAAAGAGAAAGGAGTGCTCAAGTTAATGTCAACCTTCCAAAGAACAGACATTTCAAATACATGTATCAAGGTAAAATATTAGAGCTATTAATTCATACTGATTAAACTGATTTTTATTCCACAAACAACCAATGAATTACGATAAAGTCAGTACAGCTCAGTTCTTATTGTTCATTAAACAAAACATGACGAAGAGACAGCATCATGCAATACACAGTTACAGACAGAGCCTGTGCCTTAAGATGTGCTATTGTGGCATATTCAGTCAAAACATCCACATAAAACATCATTCACAGAATTGAAACATTTTCATCGGGGACAGGGATAAGTGGACACGCAAACACAACGTGACTGTAGTCTGTGTATATAACACAACATAACTGCTAAGTGTTTGGTATCTTCTTACCTTTGGAAAATGAAGGTTGCCAGTGAACTGCGTACACCCAGTTTTCATGACCAGCCAACACAGACTCCAAAGTAATAGCATATGTTGTATCAGTATCTACCACAAATCAGAGAAAAGCATATTTCTTTCTAAAAGTCAAGAAAGAGCAGGTCATTACTGACATCTTCAGTGAAAAAAATCAACTGTTTTCACCATTCACCAATATCTCAATTTCCTATTGACATTGAATACCTCCTTGAAAACCTACTTTGCTGCAAGCCCAGAGTACCAGGTTGACTCTAAGAGGTCTGCCTGTTGCCTCTGTGGTATCACAGAATTCCCAGAGAACTCTCAAGCAATTTTGAAATAAACTCCGACACTGGCTCTACTCATACTCTCAAACATGCTTACATCTCCAGATGACTGTAAATACAAGCATTAAGATACTTCAGACAATGAATCAGGATTTGCAGGAAGTAGCGTGAGCACTTTTTACACACAACATTATACAAACTTTATTACCTAACTTTCCTAACAATTTACTCCACAGTGTCAGCCTTGGAAGGTTCTGATGTTACAATGCACAGTTTGTCAAATAACTAAAAAGTAAGGCTGCACATACTTATCCCTCATATTTTTCAAAGGTTTAAGTCATAGCAGCAACTCTTAATGCACTGAATTAGAAAGAAAATTAAAGGTATGTTCTTAAACCAGGAGAACTGCACAGCAGTTTACCTCCCAGAGACATGTATCTCATGACTATGGAATCTCATGGCATTTGGAGTATGTGTGACAACACATGCTGATACTAACCTCTCTCACTGCTTTACCATTTTTTGTACCGCATCACTAACTTCACAGAGTCACAGCTTTAAAACAATAGCTCCACTTTTTCTAACAGATGAATAAAAATAATGCGGTCAAACTGGTCTCAAATTGCTCTTAACATAAGGAACAAAACAAATTAGACAGTAACCACCTCGTTAGCCACCTTGAAACCACAAACAGATGCACAAGTGAAGTCATGTAAAAATTTCATAATTGTTACCTACCTTGGACAGTAAAAACATTCTCTTTCAGTCTTATGGAATCATCTTCAGTTTCTGGAAGTTGCTTTGATTTTGTACACACTTTCCAAATTCTTATTAAACAATCCTGAGCACAGCTTGCTAGGAAAAGCTCTTGACCTATTTGGTTTAAAAGAGGAAAAAAAAATTTAGAGCCATGCTTTCACTACAACCACTGCCATGACTAATCTACCCTCTTTCCAAACACATACTACACACCATTATCCTAATTTTTCCTATTGTACACAGTATCATAAACTGCTGTTTTATTTCAGCACCAACTTATTTACCCATTTCAAACGCCACACTAGTCTAGAACACACTATGCATATTTTTCTGCTTATAAGACATGGTAAATCCTGCACATGTACATATGCCCTACTACTTACAGCCTTTGCTCTCAAAATTCTCACAGCCTCGATACTCATCAAAATCTCCTTTCCTCCTTTTCTTTCTTCAGGATTACAGCGTCCTCTGATTCCCTCTGTTTTATTTTTGCCATTGCAAGAACTGTTTGATTAGTTCACATCTGAATTGATTCTTCTCTTAACCTATTTCTACATATTAAAAAGGGGGAGGGGAAGAAGTACTATTTCTCCCTACCCTCCCCCTTTGACATAGTCCGCTCTTACTAACTCAGGTACAGGCATTTGCATGTTGAAAAGGACAAGCTCCTAAAACTCCAGTTTCTTTGCATTTACCCACCAGTCACATAAACATACTTGAAACAAGCAAGACAAAATGAGAGATACAAACACAAGATGATAGTGTTCTGTATCAATCCTTCCATAGCCACCATTTTGGTAACTAAAATACAACTGGAGCACAGGGTCGACAATTTTTTTGTTTTAACAGGTCACAAAGATTTTTAGTATTTCTACCACAACCTCAGAAAAAAAAAAACCTCACAACCATAAGAGTTTAGGCACTGCAGTGTCTCAAAACCATCTGCTGGAGGGGTAGAACAGTAATACTGTCATTAAACCAGTATTCTACTTAATCCATCTTTCATACTAACCACAGACTGCCCATTCAACACCTCTTATCCAATCTTCATGGCCAGGAAGTATTAATGTTTTCTGAAACTGAATAAAAATTCCTGTTATATCATAGAAATGCAATTAATTACCACACACATATGAGCAATTAGCTTTGGGTTTTCAAGTCTTCTGTCTACAGCATCTATTATTTAAAATTGGAAAAATAAGCTGCTACTGAGGATTGTAATTTACTGACAGATTCTAAACAGGCATTTTTGGGTTTGCCACCATTGGTAAATGTGTCACATCATGGCCGTTCCCATATATTAGCAGGAAAGAATTTAACGTTCTCACCTTCGGGAGGCTACAGTCTCTCCATGATATAAATGAAATTTTTTAAGTTTATAAGACTTACAGTGATGTAGAAAGAAGAACATAATGGTACATAATTTGTATTACACATGTGAGGCAGATGCAACAGTAAATGATGTGGAAAATGTATACAGGTAAAATCAAGTGTAAGATGAAGGGTAGATGTCTTGAAATTATTTCACTGTGTCTTAAGATGTGCTATCGTGACATATTCAGCCGAAATATCCATATACTTATAAAACATCATTTGCAGAATTGAAACAGACTCAGAAATCAGTGTCACTTCTCTTTAGTCCATACTTGCCTGGGTATTCCCCAAAATCACCTTTCCACCAAAAAGCATTACTCAGCTTCTCTTTGTTCTATATTTGCATTCCTAATGTCACAGAACCATCGGTAGGAGATACGTGACCAGAACAGCTTAACAGAAATTTTCAAATCAGAGTTTTGGTCTTGATTCAGAACGTGGTCTCAGAGCCACCAAAGTCTCATTTGACTCGTCATTTCTGCACTCACTGGCACTTCTGGATGTGGCATTCCAAATGGATGTTTATGCTGAACACCCAACTGCTTATGTGTAAATAAAGGCTGGGACAGCCCAGGAGGCAAGATCAAACAGTGACCTAAAGGTTCTTCTGAAGGCTATGTGTTTCTGGCAACACATTTAAAAATAAATAAAGTCTTTTTAACAATTCACATTTTATCTAATAGATAAAACACCTTTTTAGTCATTCATTTAGATAATCTTTGACATAATGCTCTGTATTTTACATCCACTAAGATTAGCTGGTAAAATTGCTCCCAACTGAAAGACTGGTTCAGGCTGAACTATTGCTAACACTCTTTTTATGCTTCCTTTTAGGCTGAACAGTGTGCATATCTCCTGAAACTTGACTTTAATATTAATCTAAACACACAACTAAGAATTTTTAATTTCAAGGTATTATTTTGCTGGGGGTTTTTTAAACTACCCTCATCTTCTTAGATAAAAGAGAAACATTAAGAAAAGTAGACATTTGTTTTCTCTTTAAGGAGAGTAAAACTAATTACTTTGAGGTTTCTAATTCACCTCCCAAATAAGAGTTCTAAGCACTACTTAGCCTTAAGTCAAGCGTGGAGTTCTTTTGTGCTATAGAAAAAGCACTCAAAAATTTCAAGATATTTTTTCCCATAAAAATTAAAATTGCCCACTGAAATTGAGCAAGCAGTAGAATTGCTGTTATGACTTTAGCTTGGGTTTTTTTGTACCAGCGTTGGTGTTTTCTTTAAAGTCTCTTGGCATCACACATTCAAGTTTCTTCAGGTGTATTCTGCTCTAAAAATGTATCAATTTAAAGCTTCTTGCAGATGCACATGCGCATTATTTTTCAATGACTCCAAGTTTTTACTATCTAGGTTATATTTGCAAGTATTTTGAGCTGCCATTCCTCTTGTTTTTACAGACTTTGTTTCTATAGTCTCAGCTTTCTCCTCCTTTATTCCAGTTTTCCTCTCGGTCCTTACCAGGTACATAAAACTATCAGAAGTGACAGCACCAACCACTGAATCTAAAAAAAAAAAAATCCTCATGGTCCAAGTCACCTACCTCACAGGACTTCCTATGCCTCTTAACTAATCTCTGAACAATTTTAAATAGCAGCAATTTGGTCTCTTTTCTCTTAGGCAAAGAACAAGGCTGTTTTGTGGCAGCATAACTAGTGAAGTTACATTCTCTGTGGACATGCCCAGTACACTCTACACAACTAACTCTGCCGATGCTTTGGGTAGGTGTCCTTCAGGATCAGGCAGGTAAAATTGTTTGGCAAATTCACTGACTGCTACACATAGCAATAAGAGGTCCAAATCTTCTCAGTTTTTCCCCATTGGACACTAGATGCAATATTCCTCCTCTATCCAGCTGTTAAGTCTTACAGAATTCGAAAGAGTCCAAATTATCTTTATTCCACTTCTCAATTAGGTTAAATTTTTTGGAGGAAATATACTCAAACATGCCCAGCAAAATCTTCTCACAGAAGGCAACCTCAACATAGAGATGTTTTGTTCTAAAGCTCTAGTATGATCTTCTGGTTTACTTACTGTCCCTCTATAAGCTTGTAATATCTCAAGCAGGAAGGCATATAATTGTTTCCAAAAGATTTTTTCCCTGGGTACTTTTATATATCAACATCCTCTTTCAAGAGCTCAGAAAAGCAAAGAGATCATTTTCTCTCTATTGCTTCACAAAATAAAGGTTTTGAAGCCTGCCCACACTCGATTTCAAAAACTAAATCGTTCTTATGAATAAATATCTTCCAACTGTAAAATGTCAGTGTGTACCAAAAGGCAGTCTTTACCAGCTAACTGAAGATGCCTCATCCAACCTCAGAGCACAACAGTGCCCTCCAAGTTTCATTAGAATGTCCCATTATGAACTTAGATTCTACCTTGGGGATCATGCAATCATTTTTTAGGGCACTAATTGAAGAAAGAGGTTTTCAAGAGTTACAATTAACAGGACACAGCTACAAGGCCTTATCAGCTAGAGAAGGATGCAGAGATTTAGATTCTAGGCACTCTTCTATGCTAAGTTCCTGTGAAAAATCACAGGACAATACTGACATTTCCTTCAAATAGGTCTAAAAGTAGATCTACAGAAGCCATAAAAAGGTGTTAGCAGATCTGAGGGAACCCAGCTACAGAGGAGAACCTCCCTTTAGCAGCTAGGAAGGAGTTTACATCAGAAGACTAACAAGGATGTTTTTATTCTCTTGATAGCCATAATGCACTATGCAGGCACTTTTACTCCACAGGGAACCAAACTTGGGCTCTTCTCTTTGAGATCTGTACAGTCCACTCAGTTAAAAGAGATGTTCTGAAATGGCAGATGTCAACCAGAAGTCCCACCTCGTTTAGAAAAAAAATTTAAAAATAAAAAAAATAAAAAGAGACGCTGAGCCTCAACTCTGCCAGGACAGCTGGTGAAAATACTTTCTAAAATTACAAACTGAAGGAAAATGTGTGAAGAAAACCACAAGTAAGAAAAAAATTCCTCATGCCTCGTGTGATTGAAGCTTCCTACCTCCAAACTTGCTGATGAAGCTGAAGATGTTTATTGCAGTTACCTTTATTGTTTATTGCAATTACCTTCCTTTATCCTTCACAGACTGACTGCATGTAAGAACGGCTACAAATGCTATTACACTGAAGTCTGGTCAACAACCAGCAAAATGAGGGACCTCTGAACGCTTATGGCAGTCAAATTGCATATTATTTGTTAATCTAAACCACATAAGAAAACAGTTTCCAGATTTTGAATGAGGAAAATCAACTACACAACCCCTGACATGAAAGCTTTTCTTTAGCACACCAAGAATCATGAGAGGCTTTCTGCCATTGGTAATGCCAAAGAATGTCATTAAACTGATTCAACTCATGAACTATGTAGGGGAGGGGTAAAAAAAAAAAGCAGCTAAGAAAGAAACGCTTCTTTCCTGCTTAGTGGTCAACAAATCACTGAATATAGCAGATAAAGTATGACATTTATTCTACGGACAAAACCAAAAAAGAAATCTTATTATTCTATGTTGCAGCATGACAGGCAAAAGTATCTAAAGTAGCTTTTATCTCTCAGAAAGCAAAAAGGAGAATCTATTCTCCAGTTTCTAAGGGGACTGCCTCAACAAATGCAGAAGAGTGGTGCCTACATATGTTAATTCCAACAGGAGTTTCTGAATGATAGGTTCAGTGGTGCACTGTGGGGCAGTGTTTGTGATCCGAGTTTCGGGGTTTTTAAGGGAACCATTGAGAGAAAGAACAGACATTGACTTCTGTTTTGGAAGAAAGTTATCCAACAAATGCTTCAGAGTCTAAAAAGACTTCAGAACAGATACAAGAGAGAACAGAATTTCTCTGTACTGCTTCAAAGGAATATTTAACGGTATGAAAAACTAAAGATAGCTACAGCTCCCAAATAATACATGAAAAATGTGCGTGCTTTAAGAAGATCAGACACTGCTTCAAATACTTTTCAATATTCAGAAGCATTCAGCACAGAAAGTATACTTAGCAAAAAACATGCAAAATCACAGATAGAAATCATACAATTTTTAATATAAGAATTTCTAGACTGAAAGTAACATTTCCATACGAACCACTCAATACATGGAAACTCAGTAAAGGACATTTGCTGCTATTTTTTGTCAGTGAGAATAGAAACACAGGTTATCTTCACACAGGGGAAAAAATAAGAAAAACCAACACTTTTATGCAATGAATCTGATTTCAACATTCTATATGAACATTTCATCATTACCCAGAAAAATGGATCAACTATTTGAACAGAGATACTTGTATGTGATGATTTTCTAGAGACAGATAGCAGTTACTAAAGATCATCAAAAAAAAAAAAAAGTAGTGCACATGAAAAGAAGCAGAAGAATTGAGTGACAATCTGTGCAAGAGACAAAAAACAAAATTACCTGGCCTTTCTGCTGTATAAACAAATGTATTTTGCAGTCATCACCACCGCAAGCCAGTATTGGTACTGAAAAAAGAAAATCTTCATTATTCAAGTTACAAAACATGGAAAGCTATATAAATGACAAAAATCAATATGGTTTCAATAAATACATTAATACAGACAAGCAAGCACTATATCACATTTCCTAAATTAGACACGTAACATCATTTGAAATAAATGAGTATTTCAAGAACACAAAACTCAAGTTATCTTGGCACTAAATGATATCTACAAATACTTAAGATGCTAAAGAGTAGTCGTCTTCAAGCTTATGTATCTGTAGGAAGTTTGAGCATTGGAGATTTTTAGTTATGTTTATTTTATTGATGTCAACAGGTATTTTACTCTAAATACAAAAGAAGCAAGCAGCAAAACAAAATTGCTCACAACTAAGACAATTCAAGTCCTAAATCAACTGAAATAAGTATACAGATGGAGGTAGCATAATTATTACTTGGCAAATTAAAAGATAGAACAAAAAAAAAAAAAAAGACAGACGACCACTAACTCTAGACAAGGACATGAAAGCAATCAACATTATCATACATCTGCTCAAGTCTTGACTAGTCTACCTCTACAAGCTATCTAGAAAGTGCATAAGAAACACAAGTCTATCAAATCAAACCAGGTAATATTATGTCCAAGGGTAAAACAAGAGAATTAAGCAGTGTGTTAATTTGTCTCTCCCACAGAAGGTGATGGGGAAAAATAGCTAACCCTCAACTCTACTCTTTTTGGGTCATAACAACAAGGTAGTGCTGCTACAGACTAAAACAGCAAAAGAAAATTAATTAGAAAATTATGAAGAATTAAGTTATACGGGCTAGATGTTTGCATTTCTCAAGACAACAAAATACTATATTTCTCTAAAATCAACTACATTTTATAAAAGCTAAATGACATTCCTTTAACAGATGTTATCTTTATTATGGATAGACAAAAAAAAAATCCACCTAAATATTCATAAGTTTACACTCTACGTTAGCTTCCCCTTTTTGCCTGTATCAAACCTGTGCCTAGTTACCTGCTGCTCCTCTCATGCTTCCAAGTCACATCGCACATTCTTACACCCCCACCACTTGTTGCTTCTCTCCAACCTCTAATTCACATTTCACCTCCATCTCCCCTTTGCCTTACACAGTGTGAAAACGGACTGCTTTAGACTGAAGGTTATGAGCTGTTTTGAAAGCAGACCTCATCTTCAGGTCCATGGAAACTGGCCACAAAATACAATACCATGTATGTTCTTGGAATCTGTATCATCCCTTCTCAAGGACATGTACCAAGGATAAAAGTTTGACTAATAAGAACAAGAGAATTATGATCTAGTTGCTTATCTAAGAAATGTAAAAGCTTTCACTCAAGAAGTTCCATCAAGAAGTATATAACTAGCAAAAACAGACAAGGATATAGTTTGTCATATACACACTCTAGAGTATTAGAATATGGACCTGAGATAAAGTCCTGCAAAGAACTTATTAGTTGGAAGCTTTGGTCCAGTTACAGCAGGGACAGTGTGATCAGCAAAGATTTTTCAAGTTCACTCGCTCTTTTTTTCACACGCTGCAATTCAGTTGTGAGGAGACAACTCTTGCTTAACAAAAGTCAATCTATGGCATCACAATTCTCCAGGTGGCAGGAAGAATCACAGTATGTGACAAAAGAGCCAATCAAGATGTGTAAAATAGTAACGCCTCTCCCCAGCACTTCAGAAGATGACTGTAAAGGAACTCCTTAACTAAGAGGCTGCCAGTAAAGTGCTCAAGCTATACTCCAGCAGCAAATGACTGTTCAATATTCTCTAAGTCTGCTGGGTTTCCCTATCTGACTTCACAAAAACGATTTTTTTTAAAAAATAACTTATTTTTAAGGATAATTAGTTAAACTAACAGGATTCAAGGTCTTCAATGTCTCTTGAAAGCTAAAGCGTCAGCTAAATGAACTGAATAAGTGAATTTCAACACAAGCCTTAAATTTCGTTGCTTGGTGAAAACAGAGGTTACTGTAAATGCTTCTAGTTCAGGAGAGTAGTTTAAGACTTTCAGAAAAGTAATTTTGGATTCAATTCCTGATTTAAGAACTGCAGATTGTCTTCAAGAGAAAAGCTTCTTTAAATCTTAATACAGCTGCCAAAAGAGCCTTCATGAACATTTCAGAGCAACTCCTAAAGTTACTACGGATCATCTTTCCCTGAAGATCATTAAAACTCCAAATTGCCATTACAGATTAATGTTTCTGACAAAGTTATCAGCAGTAAGATTTTAAATAATATATTTCAAGCTACTCCATTTAGATTTCAGGATTAACATACTCCTCTAAACAGAAAAAGTTCAGTTGTATGGACTACTACATCAGATTTAGGGAAAAAATCCAGAATATGGCTATGCTGTATTAAAAGCCTCTTCATAGATTTCTAGGGTAAATATTTCTCATGATACATTTATCATTCAAAATCCAAGCTGTTTCTTTACAGTTTTGGCAGCACAGACCATTCATACTGGAACTGGTATTAAAAACATAAACGTACAGGATTTTTTTTTTAATTCTCTGCACAAAACTGCGCACAAATAATTTCTCGTTTGAAAACAATTGCAGCTCTTCAGAAAAGTAAGGTACTCTTTTTCAGGTTATGAGCACTGTGTTGTTTTGGATAACTAATTTGAACTGGGATGGGAACAGGTCATAATAAAGGACTGTCCTGCTCTGAATGCAGCTTTAAGCAACACTGGGTTTGGGGGCCTCTGGGAGACTTTCACAGCAAAACAAAATGCTCGCTATTCCACCATTTAAAGAAGCTTCAAGCGTGCCATAGTATGTTGGTTTCAGAAGCATTTAGTTTTAAGAATTAATAAAATAACGTTCATTTAAGGTTGCAGCAAACAGTTTAAATCTCTAAATACAGTAAGAACCTTCTTCTCTTTGGAGCCTGGCACTCCTCCATCCAGTCAAAAGGCTCTAATGATACTTAAACCTAGTTCTGCAGATGTGTCTGGCTTGAGGATACATTTAGTCTTTAAAAATAAAGCTCCTATAGATTTGCAGTGTAAGAATGTGTCTGTGGCAGGGTACAAAAACTACACATTTATGTTAATAGAAAAGTCCATAAATCAGATTGAACAGTCAGGTTAAAGTTGTTCAGCATCTCAATTTTTCCACATTTAAGACTGAACAGGTGATAAACACTGATCGGTAAATTACAATTTTTGATGCAGGCCTGAAGATTCTTTTTGTGGATCCTGCCCTCCAATCCAAACAACAAGAACAAACGTACACAGCAGCACCAGAAGAGGTGGGTCAAACTAACAGCATGATCCTATCCCCTTCACTTGTAGCTCTCTTACCCCATTTTTAACTTCCCTGTGTTCAACTCAAGAACTCCATTTAAGTCTCATTTTGAAGACATTGTAATTAGACAGTATTTTTCTAATTGCCAAGAAGGATTCAGTGAAAATCTTTAGATAGTAGCAGTAGTTTAGGCTGATTCCATGGAAAACAAGAAACATGGTACAAGGGTCTGGAGTTGGTCAAATGAAAAAATTTATTTCTGTGATTTCTTAGATTTTGTTTCCTGCATTGATATTCAGTATGTGCATCTGTACTTACCATCGCTGCCAGGCAAGAAGGATAAGCAGACATCCATAACAAATCCATTTCCAAACTGCAGAATTTCAATGCATTTAGCTGAAAAACAAGGACAGTGTTGATCTCATTTGTTGTTAAGTATTACAGTTACACTGTCATTTCCTTTAGTTGTGTAGTTAAAATTTCTCATTCAGTTTTATTTTAAGGTGCTTAAAAACTTCCACTTTTTTTCAGAAGCCTAAATAATAATAATGTTATCTCTGTGAGGGCACTGAAATTCATCCAGAGTTAGCTGAGTTAGAAGCTAAGTCACTGTTCTCCACTGAGTATTAAAGCTGTGCAGCTTCAGTGTGGTAACACATCAGAAGCGATAAACATTGCAAATTACACCCTGTGGCAACCGCATTGACTACACACAAAGTTAAAACCAAATCCATTTGCTACAAGAATGAGATGAGCAAAAAAAACAACCTTCCTGCAAAAACCCGTGAGCTCCTGCAAGTGGTTAAACTGGCAAACCATGGAGATCAGAGCAACCAACTGGATAGCACAAAAACCTGTCTACAGAAGCAGAATTGGTATTTCTAACCACTGGAACCCACAACAGCAAGCTAAGAAAAGGAAGACAGAACTTCACAGTTTAGGAGCATGAGAAACACCTTCCTGAGCACAGGACCAAACACTGGCAACTCCCATCTATTTCTCTAGAGTAGGTAGGGCAACATGAAATCCTGAAGTACCTCAAATAAGAAAGCAGCTTGAGAGATGCAGTCAGTACCACTCAACTAGAAAATAACACTTAAATCTAGATTATCCATGCTATTTCTTATGTATTTCAAACAGCTGCTCTTCCAAGTGTCCATGCACGCACCTTCTTCACCAGAAGGTCAAGAGCCTATCAGCCCACACTTCATTGGACTCGAGTCAAAAGTAACTAACAAGCGACTAGTTTAACCTCACATTTCTAATGCCAGTATTAATCATTTTGCTAAGTAATTTTACTTCACGCACACATACAGCTAGTCCGCTACCACACTACAGGATAAAACGATGGTTCAGATTATCAGATTCTGAACACATACTAAAAAATATCATGTAAATTCAGCTGACACGCCACTTATTAAAAACAAAGAACAAAAACTACAGGACAAATCCGACCTAGGGCTGTTAAACTGGTACAACCCTCAGCTTTCAAAGAGCAGTATAGTCATACAACGTACCAAAGTCTGAAGAGAGATCAATGTAGTCACATTAAAAGAGGTTAGTATATAGCCAAGTGCATCAATGGATAAGCATTCATCAGCCAGTATGCCGTCCCCAGCGTTAAAAGTTACCTTCTGAACCATGTCGAGACCAGATCCTCACAGTAGAGTCAGAAGCTGCAGAAGCTATTAGCAGATTTAAATCAGGTTCATCCAGCTGGTAGACAGCATCCACAGCACAAACTGCTTCAGTATGGCCTTTGAGAGGAATGCTTTTCACATGCTAAACACACACCAGAAAGTTTTGCGAAGTTATAGAAATAAACAACATTAAATTCCAGTAGCTCATCTGTGAGAACTTTTAACGTCATTTTAAGAAATAAAATAATTTAATACTAAAAATGAGTTGTATGCCAGTAGTTAAGCTATAACATCTTCCAAGAAAACACAGAGAAGGGATACAGAAGTAACGACTATTAACTTGATAAGATTTTGCTCAAAGCTAAACAGAATTAAACATTCCTGTGTACACTAAGCAAACCTTTCTTTGAGGAAAGCTGGAAACAGTACAGAAGTTAGGAAGAGTTTTCCCTCCTTTCTCTCATTCTCTTGCCCCTCTGACCCTAAGAAATATCTCAGAACCTTAGCGAAGGAAGCAGAGCAGAGAACATAATGGAATAAGGAGCAGCTACAAGCAGCTCTAGTAGCAGTTTAGTGTGTTCTTGCAACTCAAAACAGGTTTTTATTCCTTTGAAATACCAACAAGAGAAACAAAACCTCTAAATTTTGACTCAGCTACCTGCTTCCTTCATGTATGAATACAGGTGATTCAGTTTGTAATCTACTCCTCAAGCACAATTAGCAAAACAAGAAGCTTTTAATTCTGCAACTAGTGTTTATCCAATTTGAAACAAACACACTTGACATGTCTTTTAAGAATTTACACTAGTCTAGAACTGTTGTTAAAACGTGCACATTTAGTCACATTCTTTGTCAGGCTGCTGCAAGGCTGTACACCACACCGGAGGAAAAGGTTAATAAAGAAATCTGTAGGCTATTTTACATAAATACTTAGTCACAACAGATCAGGATCAGAAATTTCTGAGAACATTCCCCCCTCAAACTAGGTGTGTTTCCCCGCAATGGACATTCTTGTGCATTTTTAAATGCCATGTCTAATCTAGCTTGAGACAGTCTATGAAATGAGTTACTTGAACAGCCATTCACAAATTTATGTCTGATAAGAATGATTTTAAAATGTAGATAATAAAGTATTTTTAATCTAAATTTCATTTCATTCTGAAGGCTCTTTTACAACATCTTTTGCTTTATGTTTTACATTATGAATAAAAAATTAGTGTGTCTCAAAAACCCAATTGTTTCACAGATTTCTTTTTTTTATTTTCTCTTTTAAACACTTACCCCAACTTGTATATTGTCATGGTAAGACTACCTATACAAATGCTACACTGCCCCACAGATGGACTGTAAGTCTCTAGAAGAAGATATATAGAAACAAGGAAGAAGGATACAGGGAATATCACCTAAAAATGAGCCACATGGTTTGAATATTTCAAGGCAGTTTAAGAGAAAGTGCTACAGGAGATCAGAAAACTGATGGCTCAAGAACAAACAGGACCTTTTGGCCATGCCAGACAAAGCCACCTGATGACCAGTTGGTTAATTTCTTAATGAAGGCTGATTTGAAAAAGATCAACTACAGCAAAGAAGAAACAAAAGTAAAATACAACATGACAGAACACTAACAATTTGAAGGAGATTCACATGGGGTTCAACAGTCAAGGTAAAATAGGAAATATAGACAAAACAGATAATTTATGGCATATGAGAAATCAGGGCAGAGAAAGCCTTAAAAAGAGATTATTCCTGCTTACCTGATTATTCCATGTTCCTGATCCATTCCATTCCCAAAGAATGAGTTGTTTATCAGATCCACCAGAAACTAACTCTGTTTCAGAAGCTAAAAAACAAAACATTTGGATAATCCTGTGAACTCACTTTGTAACAGCACTCAACAACACAGGCAGTTACACTGGTACCATGTGTCAGCTGTAAGCAAAGTTTCCATCAAAATTAAGTATGGCTAATATGAGTTGCACTGTACAGGACAGCTTAAGAGCAAAGGTATTCTCTGAAACGAGGTAAAGAGAAAAGTCACCGGAATACTTACATTTATCATGTTCATACAGAACTTTTATCTTTTCAAAAAGATTCTCAAATCCAACAGTGTAAATTAGTATTTTCTTTTTCAGAAGATAGGAAGACAAGAGAATCCTAACCAAACAGAATTCAAAACCTTACCTGCAAGTTTAACTCCTAAGTTCCCTGAAAATAATTTAATCAATTTTAAGATGCAAATGTTTCAGTGCAACCAGTTGATAGCAGTTTACATCGCTACTAAAAATCAATAGTTTTACCTCAGTACCTCTACCCCTTTAAAGAGAAAAGAAACAGGCACATCACAGTGCCTAACCACCGGCTGTATTACCCTCTGTCAGCCGGGGAGTTTCTACAAACGCCCAAGGACAGGGATGTGTGCCTTGGAAAAGCCCGCGCCACGCAACTGTAAATCCTGCGGTCGCTATCCCGCAAAAGGGCCGTCAGGGGTGTCAAACATTCCCATTTCGAAAGGCCATTTTCCCGCGGACGAGGCCTCCATGTAGGTCACGTCTTCACAGCCAAGGCCTCTCCGAACGGGCGCCGCACGCCCGGTTCCACACTCGGCACGTGCCCAACTCCAGCCCCTCACT